ACGTTTTTGCAAACATCTAATTGCTATAATGTTATATTGAGGGATAAAAAAGGAGGAAAAGCGAATTAATTTGCAGATCGAAAAAGCATACGGCATGTAAATATTTTTTTTATCAACTTTTGGAATCGCTCCAAGTAACTTCCGATACCCTCAAGAGGATTGGGAGGGAATTCTGTGAAAAGTCTCGGCTGGTGGGCGTGTAGCAAGAAGGTAGTTTGGCTTTTTCCCGTTCCCCTTTTCATTTCCATGAACGGCGCTACCTAACACATTAAGATCAAATTTTTAAGCGCAAGTGTGGGCCGTTAAAAAAAGGAAATATTATAAAAAAAATTAAGTGAAAATTAAAAAGGATAATAGAAGTGAGGAATAAAACGTGTGACGTCTCCTTACCTTTTTTCCGTAGCCGCTTTGTTGCCAACGGTCGTTTTAACTCTGTTTTGGCGACTTTCTTTGTAACGCATGCGGTGCTACCAGTCAACTGTATAAAAGGAAAAATTCTAAAAAAAAAGTTAAGAAAAAATCAAAAAGGATAATAAAAGCGAGGAATATATCGTATGAAGTCTCCTTACCCTTTTTCCGTAGCTGCTTTGTGGTTTATAGTCCTTTGAACGCTGGTTTAGCGACTTCCTTTGTAACGCGTGCTGTGTTAACAATCAACTGTATCTAGTTTTCTACATTACCACTCTCTGTTACCACTCAACTGTATATAGTTTTTCTATATACAGTTGAGTGTATTTAATTCTTTTTTAATTGTTCCTTTTTTTTAACGGCCCGCGCTTACGCTTAAAATTCGATCTGAAAATGTTAAGTATTGCCGTTCATGAATTTTAGACCCCAAAATTACACACAGTACGTTTGGGCTGCCTGTGGTAATCGGCAAAACAGTCGTTCACGCATACCGTGACACCCACGATCGGAACATGGCACAGCTTAATTTCGAGCTTTGTTTCCGGGTAGCTTTTCTCGCTGCACTTCTTCCTCTGTCCTCAGGTGAGCACTATCTCATTTTAAACCTATATTAAACCTATACGAAATGTTTACATTGAAACAGTTTCCGTCAGCCGGACAGGTTTTCAAAAATACCACATGTGCGGTAGTCAAAAATATGTGCACAAAATTTCCCTAAGGGTTTCTTCTATCTTCATAGACTATTAGATGTCTGTTTAGAAATGTCAAGCGATTTAAAAACTTACGTAGTTTTCTAACCTACCCTAGTTTTCTCAGTTTTAAAATGTAGAAAAGATTTCTGAGCTAGCGATTTGTTGGGATACACATCAGCTTGGAAAATTCGTCTACTAATTTTGGGATCGCTATAATGGCACTTCTAAACCGAAACATCTGAAACTCTTCATAAGTTTGATAAAGCCATTGAAAGGATATGAGAATTTCTGACTGTTCGATACGGACTATTTTCTGGAACTTGTCCGGCTGCTTTTCTCATGATGAAGACTGAGTTCCTTATTTTATTTAAATTACTGCCTTCAGGGTTGGTTTCAGATTAATCTTTCAGTTTTAAGTGCTAGAAATAAAGACTTTCTCGCACGGTCGCAACTTAATACGGCAACGCAGATATATAGCCTCAATATAAAAAAGATAAGAGAGCTGATCCCTAGTTTCGGATTGTTTTTTTTATTAAAAGATCATCTTACAAAAAAGAGGCCGTTTTAAAAAAGCTATCTGCCTGTATGACTAGCTCAATTTTAAGCTTAAATACTGATTTAATTGTTCAGCGAACAGACAAAGTCTAAAACAGTACTATTGCGTTACAACTTAACAATTGTATTTGTCATTGTCTAGGCGTTATTTATCATGGACGACGTGTATCCCAATTGAACGGTATAATACAATTGTAAATTTTGTTTCTGTAGGTGCCTGTGTTGATTTAGATCTTGGAATGGGAAGGGGAACAATTCCAAACAGTAATATAACTGCTTCTTCTGTACAAAGTGCCAGCACACCAGCCAAGAATGGTCGACTGAACTACACATCAGGATCATCATGGTGCGCAGGAACAAATGACACTAACCCATATCTACAGATTGATCTACAGACACTTCACGTCGTCTGTGCTGTGTCTACTCAAGGAAATTCTCAAGCAGATCAGTGGGTGAAGAACTACGTACTGCAATTTTCCACAAATGGGACAAACTGGTTTGACTACATGGAAGGTGGACAAGTGAAGGTAAATACATGTAGTAGTAGTTACAATGTGAGACATATAAATGTTAAAAAAATTACAGCATACATTTTGAAAAATCCATTTGTGCTAAGAATTGTTGATATATAATGCTATTAATTTTACACTTTTAATATTTTCATTCCAGCTATCTTCTCAACTTGCCAAAAAAAATTTACTGATGATGAGTTGTGACTGTTGTTTTTAGTCTCTGAGAGGAAATGATGACAGAAACTCAGAAGTGAAGCATGTTGTTTATGGAGTGTTAACAAGATATCTGCGATTCCTGCCAAATACACA